AAGGTCATTCAAGTGAAAACCAGAGCATCAAGTGTCTCACTGTGTAGGACCCTAAGCCACATCAAAAGGATCATTTTAATCAAGTCTTCATTGAAGGTCCAAATTCAAACAATCCAAATCTCCTCCAATCTGAAGGTGAGATAAACCCTCCCCCACCACACCACAGCCTGCTGAAGCCAGAAGTCTAAGTGAAGTCAAGAAACTCTATTATTCATTGGAATAACAGAACCACATTTGGGCTACACACCCAGGCCATATGCAGTGGGCACTGCTATTTTGGTCCATCCAACACCCATTCCCTCCATTTCTTATAAAATACTGAAGTTTCGGGCCGGGCGCGGTGGCTCACGCCTGTAATCCCAGCACTTAGGGAGGCCGAGGCGGGTGGATCACAAGGTCAAGAGATCGAGACCATCCCGGTCAACATAGTGAAACCCCGTCTCTACTAAAAATACAAAAAATTAGCTGGGCATGGTGGCGCGTGCCTGTAATCCCAGCTACTCAGGAGGCTGAGGCAGGAGAATTGCCTGAACCCAGGAGGCGGAGGTTGCGGTGAGCCGAGATCGTGCCATTGCACTCCAGCCTGGGTAACAAGAGCGAAACTCCGTCTCAAAAAAAAAAAAAAAAAAAAAAAAAATACTGAAGTTCCTTTCCAACCCATTTATTAAGCTAAGTAGCGTAGGTGTACTGGATGACTCTATCCCACTTCCCACTGCCCACCAAGCCTGGCCAACCATAGCATTCTTTTGACCACAGAGATGTAATTAGGGATAGGCCCAAAACCCAATCGAGGTTCATCTTTGAACTTTTGTTACAGCTACCAGAAAAGAACTTTTTCTATCTTATCAGTAGGAGAAGGGACATGACCTGACAATGGAGCCAATGCAGAAGAACAAAGAGACAGCCAAAGAGAAAGGCCATGGAGATGCTGCCTAAGCTTGCATCAAGGTGTGTCTGGGGACATGTTTACTCTTGAACTTTCAAACTAGGAGAGCTATAAATGTTCCCTCCTGCTTAAGTTTTTTTCATGCTTAAGCCAGTCTCGTCTTTTTTTTTTCACTTGCTACTGTAAGATTTTTGTCTTGTACACCAAAATGGAATGTAACTCTTCTCCTTTTCCTTCTTTCCTCTCTTTATCCTAACACTGAAAGCTAAAGGCTACTGACCTGAGTCTCCTCTAATAAAAATTAATTAAAATAAAGGCTCATGAAAAAGCTGGGTGAATAAGAGAAGCATGTTCTCTGGATGTGTCCAAAAACTTCTGCCTTATCTATCTATACAGGGCTTACCTATCGATGCCATTCTGTCACCCTACTGCCTCTACAGACAGACACTAATCATAGATGAAATGACATCCAAAGTTTCTTGCAGTTCTGAGCTATAAGATTCCATTAAGCTTCAGCTGCCTCATCTGTAAAGTGGGAGACGGCTCTCTCACAGGATTCTTGGGAGGATGAATACAGCAAAAGAATATTTTACAAATGTTTCTTGAAAAAAGTATGTGACATTCTTTATTCCCAAGGCAGTTTATCAATATTGTATCCACCAAAAAGGAGACAGGTCATTCAAGAAATTATTACAGAAGGCCTAAAATGTGTAAGGCACTTGGGGTATATAGAGATTAAAACATCTTGAAATGCTTCCAATATAGAATATCGGACAACTACCCAACTAGCACTACATTACAGAAAATATACAAGTTGTCATCAAACAACAACAGAACAAGCTATGGGAACTGAGAGGATAGAAAAACTACTTTGTAGGAAGTAGAAAGGTTTCATGGAAGAGACAGCACTCAATTGTGCCTGGATGCCCAGGGAAGCATTACCGGTCAGAAATTTCCTCAGGCAGTCAAGACTGACTTTATCCATACCACAGACAGGCCACCTACAATGCTACCATCCCATGATACTAAATGCCTTTCAAACAAGTCTTCTAAAAGATACAAGCAGACTAAAATATTTTGCTTCCTTGTTACAAAATAGTAAGCAGTGCAGAAAACTGTTTGGATAATTTTCTCAATGAGAATTGTATTTTTGTAACCAGAGGGAATATACATCAATTTTTTAAATGTCTATATTGTTTCCCAGACAGTTCTAATTGCCATAACGTTCCAGTGAAACTGAAAATTCCAAAGCCCAAACAAACAAAATGACTTATCTAAAAAGTGTTAAAGAGTGTAAATATGTCACTCCAGGAAGACCTTAAATCACTTATGTTTCCCAGCACACACCATGAATTTCCACAATGTGCCACGTGCTCATACTCTTCTCCCTCTTGGAATGTCCTTGAATCTGAAATTCCATTCCCAGCTCCTGAAATACCTTCTCAGATGCCTAGCTCAAATGTGACCTTTCTTTGAGGCACTACTTGACTTGTCCATGAAGAATGAAATTTCTTCTTCTCCAGGTACTCTGGCACTATAGAAAAATGATGCGTGTGTGTGTGTGTGACAGAGAGACAGAGAGAGAGAGAGAGAGAGAGAGAGAGAGAGAGAGAGAGAGAGAGAAACACCTACCAGAGTGTAAATGCCTTATGGGGAGTATATGGGTCTTTTTCTTTTCTGTATGCCCAGCACATAGGACGAATCTTACATAACAAGTCTTATATTGTAATGTACCTAATAAACAGAAAACAAAAGAGGGGGAAAAAGGCAGAACCACCACTGTGATCATTTACTTCTCCTGAAATATTAGAGTTCCTGAATTTAGAATAAATGGCAAAGTGTTAGAATTAGACCAAAGTCATCTGTACATGAACTATTTGAAACCACGAAAAACAGACAAAGAACAATCTGCTATGACGTCACTGTCTTGATAAACAAGACTTCTTAAGGTTCAATCATTAGGTTGAGCCCTTGAAGGCTTGAAGGTATATTCTCATCAACCACTAATCTGTTAATAAACTGAGATGCCCCTAAACATTGTAGAAAGCAGACTAAAATAACTGGTCAAAGATGACCCATATAGAATCCAGTCAAGACACAAAAACACTCTATAGGGATGAAAAATGTACATCTTGTAAACATAATCCAAAATAGTCTAGCATCCACATCCCATTCTGGAACCCATAGGAAAATGGAATGTTCAAAAATGAGGAAAGTTCAGTACTTGCCAGAGAAATCGAGACAAAAATTTGAGACGGACCAATGTATATATGCAAGTGAGACAGATGCTCTATTAAAAAACAGATAAACAGATGTAAGGATTTCTCCTTATAAAGGAGAGATAGGCCAGGTGTGGTGGCTCAAGCCTGTACTCCTAGCACTTTGGGAGGCCAAAGTGGGTGGACTGCCTGAACTGAGGAGTTTAAGACCAGCCAGGACAACATGTTGAAACCCTGTCTCTACTAAAATACAAAAAATTAGCCAGGTGTGGCAGTGTGTGTCTGTAGTCCCAGCTACTAGGAGGCTGGGGTGGGAAAATTATTTGAACCTGGGACACAGAGGTTGTAGTGAGCCAAGATTGCGTCACTGCACTCCAGCCTAGCAGCCTGGGTGACAGAGCAAGACTCCCTCTTCAAAAAAAAAAAAAAAAAAAAAAAGGAAGAGACTGATTATCAATCAGGCAAGTTAGAGAGCAGAGAGGAATTAAAATCGAGTATTGCCAATACACACTAAAACAGTAACCAGGAGTCTTTGCCACACAAAAGATAAACAATACTACAGAGCATGCTCTAAGGGGTAACAGGAAAAACTTTAAAGGCTCAAAATTATACAGGATGCAAAAACAATGAGAAACCCAGCTAACAACTTCCTACACTCTACACCTGACAGACTAAATCACGGTCCTGACCTCATCACCCTCACAGTCCAGTTGGGGAGAGACATCAGCAGAAAAACATCTTTAATAATTGTTAAGCCAGAGTAAACACATACTGATGAGGCAAAATAGGGAAATACTGAAGGGGAGAGAGAGGAGGTCAGGTGAAACCTGCTGTGAATGTTACCTCTCACCTAAGTCTTAAACATTGGTCAGGATTAACCCAAAGGACAGAAAAATGGGATGGGCAAGACAGGGTGCACTAAGTAAACAAGATGGAGCACCAGTTTAAGAGTCAGATGACCTGACTTCTAGCCCTACAACTTGTTCCAACAACACACCAAAATGCAAAATACCTGGCAGACAGAATGAAGTAACATTCATTCATTTTCTGAGACAGACTCTTGCTCTGTCGCCCAGGCTGGAGTGCAGTGGCACAATTTCAGCTCACTGGAACCTCCACCTCCTAAGTTGAAGCAATTCTCCTGCCTCAGCCTCCTAAGTAGCTGGGATTACTGGCGCCCACCACCACACCTGGCTAATTTTTATATTTTTAGTAGAGACGGGGTTTCACCACATTGGCCAGACTGATCTCGAACTCTGGACCTCGTGATCCACCCGCTTTGGCCTCCCAAAGTGTTGGGATTACAGGCGTGAGCCACCATGCCAGGCCAGTAGTAGTTATATATCCTAGCACTTAACACATCCAGGCGCCATGCAAGACATAGATAAATAACATTAATAAAACAACTACAGTTTGCTCAGTCCTTCCTATGTGCTAAAGTACTAAGAACAGCAGGACAAACAATACAAGCCCTTGTCCTCAAGCAGAGTCTGCTGGAGGAGACTACAGATAAGTATACAACCCACCCTGTTGAAGATACTGAGACCTAGGAACCTAATTTATTCAGTTAATAAGAGAGAAAATGATTACTTAAACCATAATTTGATTGACTTAAAAATTCTGAGATCCTCATCAAGAGAATAGGTTAGAGGAAGGAAGAAATAGGGGGTAAAGAAGTAGCAATAATCCTCCAACCAAACTCCCTAATGCTCAATTAAACGGAGTCTTCCAGTGAGGCAGAGAGAAGGAACTCCTCAAACGGGATCAGCAGGTGCTCGATTTGGGGTGTAGTTATAACCTTTACTTCCCTTCCTACTAGTCCCTTGCTTTGCCTACTCCAACCCCATCCAGGACCCCAGCAGCCCCCACCCGCCTCCGAGGAATAGAGGGAGCACCTTCGAGTGCGCGAGCGGCCGCTCTTCCGGTACGGGGCCCGGAGCGTTAGCCTCCCGAGAGTATCGGTGAGCGGCCGCCGAACTGCCATGGGCCCCAGGCCGCTGGGGCGTACCGCAGCCACAAGAACCCGCAAGGGACCCAGCGCCCGCACCGGTCCCGGCCTGCTCGCTCTCGCTCCCTGCCGCTCCACACAGCAGCAAGAGCAGCAGCAGCAAGAGAACGCGACCCGGCTCGGGGAAGCGTCCACAAGCCTGCCCGAACGCGGGCGCAGCCATGTTGTCCCGCGGGCCACGTGATACGATGGGTCACGTGGCTGAGCCCTCCTTAAAGGGGCAGAAGTTTGAGCTTACTCGCAAAGTAGCCAGGAGAGTTGCTCTTCTCCACCCTTCTTCAGGTACTTCTTAGGCGTTCCTGCTTGCCTGTGCTACGTCAAAACACAACAAAACACAAAACTCAAGGCCTTCCACAGACCGTGCACCCCTTTATGATTTCTTGGTTGAAAGATGACAATCAAATTTGTTGGGCATTTGCTAAGTGCCAGAGTACTATGCAAAGCATTTCACTTTTTAAAATCTCATTTAATCCTCACAAAGGCCCTGTCATGTTGGGTTCACAGAACAGTTAAGTGACTTGCCCAGATCATATGACAAATAAATATCAAAAGCAAGATTTAAATACAGGGAATCTAACTTTAAACCCTGAGTTTTAACCATTATGTTGTACTGCAGACAATCAAATACGTTCTTCCTAAAAAGAAACAGAAAGGAAGATGAACATGTAGAAGAACACTTCACCAAGGGATACAGTTAAGGAAATCCAGACTGTGGTATATACAGAAGAATGGTTCTTGAAGTGTCATTCCTGTCAGCACCGCCTGGGAATATGTTAGAAATGCAATACCGAATCAGAATCCCTGGGGACGGGGCACAGCAATCCCGTGTTTCACAAGCTTTCCACATGAGTCTAGTTCACACTTACGTTTAAGAACCACTGTTGTACGGTTTTGTAAGCAGACAAAATGCAAAACCAAAACAAAAAAAAGATGAAGGAAAAACTTACAGATTAAAAGGAACATTGCAGCCAACTGCAATGTATGAATCTTACCTAAATACTAATTCAAATCTACTGATTTCAAATGTTTTGAGATAATCAGGGAAATTTGACTGCTAAATCAAATTATGACATTTGATAAAAATAAGGAATTACTGTAAATTTTGTTTTTAGGCTTTTAGGAGTAATAATGGTATTTGTGGGTATGGTTTTTAAAAGAATCCCCTCATTGAAGTATATATATATATACTGAAATATATAGATAGATAGATATACTGAAATATATATATACATATATATGTATATGTATACTGAAATATATATATAGGGATAAAAATATAGGCAGTCAAGGATTTGCTTCCCCCAAAAATGGGTAATCAGAGTCTGGCTAAAGATGAAGCATGATTGGCCATGAGTTGATAACTGTCATAGCTAGTTCATGGGCATCTCGGTTTTTATCGCACTATTCTAATGTAGTATACATTTGAATTTTTTTAGCATAAAGAAAAGATCAGCAAGCCACCATGGCTCATGCCTGTAATCCCAGCATTTTAGGAGGTTAAGGCAGGAAAATCGGTAGAGTCCAGGAACTCAAGACTACCCTGGGCAACACAGCAAGACCTTGTCTCTATAAAAAAATTAAGAAAAATTAGCTGGCTATGATGAGGTACACCTGTGGTCCCAGCTACTTAGGAGGTTGAGGCAGGAGGATCACTTGAGCCTGGTTGGCAGAGGCTGCATCGAGCCATGATTGTGCCACTGCACTCCAGCCTGGGTGACAAAGTGAGACCCTGTCTCAAAAAAGAAAAGAAAGGGGCTTTTCTCCTTATTGACTATTTTATAGTTTGCCAAGACCTTTCACACATTTTCTCATGTGAGATTACAACCACTTGGCAAGAAATGTATTATTACTATACCCATTTCAAAATTGATGAAGCTAAAAGGTCAATGCCTTAACCAAGGCTTTATGTATTTACTGTGCATAATATATAGTCAAGGTCTAGGTCAACGATAATCTTTGCTGGCCTCTTTCAAATGTCAGTCTCAGCACATGCTGTGTCTGCTGCACTTCACAGACCTGAACTTCTTTGATTTGTGGTACAGCTACACCATTAGGTTCTAACAGCCACGAAAGTAAGGCTCCTGGCTATTTGTTCACACTGTATCAGCAAAATCAGGCCAAGCCTGGCAAACAGTGAACACTCAATGTGAAGGTTTATTGAATTAATGGATAAGTGAATGAATGAATAAAGTAATGATTAGCTCTTTCTCTTAAAGGGAAGCAAATTGTGGAGAAAATAATACAGGTCTTAGACTCAAAGAGCTGTGGTTAAAGCTGGCCACTTTACATAAGGTATGACTAGGCAAATTATATCACCTTTCTGAGCCTCTATTTCTTCATGGTGTGAAATGGGAATAATAATTATTTTTTCTTAGAGATTTTATGGGGATTAAATGAGACAAAATATGTGAAAAGCTTAGCCTGGTGCCTGACATTTAACATACCTCAAAAATAAATTTGCTATTACTAATCTTTATCAAAGATGGAACTTTGTTATTTCTCCAGGAAGATGAGTCTTTTGTCTCACTCTAACTTTTTAGTCACTAATCAATAAGTATTGATCTCTTTAATATTTTCCTCCTCTCAGTGAGGAGGCTTGTTCTAGAAATTAGAGTTTGACAGTCCAACTCAGCCATCAGCTCTGTACAAATTAGTGTAACTAGGTAAAATATCTCCCACCCGCTCCATCTCTCATTTAAGCTCCTTCTGCATTTTGTGGCCTTTCTTGTCCCCTTTATCTAATGAAGCTGGATGACAGACCACAGTCCTGAAAACACCTTGCACGCTCACTGAACATCAGAGGCCAACATGGCGAGAGGGGAGTGAGCAAGGTGGAGAGAAAAAAAGAAAGGAGATCGGAAAGGTAACATTGAGCCAGGTTAAGGAGGCTCTGGTAAGCTTTTACTCTGAAAGTTGGTGCCATAACAATTTTGAGAAGACACCTGACACTCTTCCTGCTGAGTGACATCAATTTTCCTTCTAGGTTAGCGGCTTCTCTTGCTTTCTGGTTCCTGATCACAGGGGATGCAAAGTGCTCTGATGGTAGGTAGCCATGGCTTGCAGTTCATTGGGACCCCTGCTGTGTCCACAGAAGGAGAACATCCCTTCAGGGATCAGGACATCCAACCCTAAAGAGCTCGGAGTTGCAGGGATGGAAGAAGAAAATCTCAGTGGGTCAGTAGAAGTTATAGTAAGTACGACAACTTCTACTTTCACCCCTTGGTTACTGAACCCATATATTCTTCCTACCTGGGGACGCGTCTGACATCGCTAATTGAGTGCATATGCTGCATTCTTATAGATGGCCCCATCCTTGCAGAAAATTGCATCCATGCTGTCATTTCAGCTATGCCTTCAGTAAGCTGTTTTTACCCTTTATGAGGCCAGCTGCTTTGGGTTTTATTGTATGGAATAAAACCATTCGATTCTGTGACCATAGCCTACCCCTGCACCTCCTTCACTGTGAAGTGGGTCCCCTGGTCAGATGCCATGTGGTATGGGAATGCATAAGGTGTTCTAAAAGCCCTCAGTGATGCTGCCTGAGGCTCTTGAAGTAGGAAAGGCACAGGTCAAAATGTGAGAAAATCTACTTCTCACGTGAAGGACACTTGGCTCCATTTTTTTAGTATGGTGAATAATGATATGAACATTCACGTACAAGTTTTTGTTTGCACATGCTTTCATTTTTCTTGGATATATACTAGAAGTGGGGTTGCTGAGTCATATGGAAACTCTAACCTTTTTTTTGTTTTAAAAAATAGGATCTTTCCCTGCTACCCAGGCTGGAGTGCAGTGGCATGATCATAGGCTACTTCAACCTCAACCTCATGGACTTGAGAAATCCTCCTACTTCAGCCTCCAGAGTAGCTGGGATCACACGCTCAGGTCATTTTATTATTTTTTTGTAAAGATGATGTCTCACTATGTTGCCCAGGCTGGTCTCGAATCCCGGCAATCCTCCTGCCTTAGTCTCCCAAAGTGCTGGTATTATAGGTGTGAGCCACCATTCCTGATCTTGTTTAAACTTCTGAGGAATTGCCAGACTTTTCCAAAGTGGTTGCATCATTTTACGTTCCCACTAACAACGTATAAGGCGTCCAGCTTCTCCATGACATAGTTAATTCTTCCACCTCCTTTAGAGTAAAATTTCTTACCCTTCTATCAGGCCCAACCTATCCTCAGCCCGGTTATACTGAAACTTGACCCTGTTTAAAACCTGGCAGCCACAAGAGGATGTGGAGGCACTTTCCTGGAGGTGGGAGGCTGTTGCTTTTTAAGAGAAGAAGAAGGGGGGAGGGGGAGGAGGGGGAGGAGGAGGAGGAGGAGGAGGAGGAGGAGGAGGAGGAGGAGGAGGAGAAAAAAAAATGAAAAGAAAAAAATGCTCTGGTATATGCAATATTTTCCCACGTGTGGAAACTACTGGTCCTCAATAGGGAAGCCAACTCTGCAAGCTCCCTCAGGGGTCGCAGAGGAGTCTACAGAGCCACATTTCTCGGGGCTATCCACCTAGATGTCCCTGCCCCACTTTTCAGGTTCCAGGTCCTATGTTTTCCAACCAGATTTTTGACTTTAGCATAGGAAATCTACTTTGGCTGAGCATCCAAACATCTGTAGCACTCTCAGTTCTGACAATTAGATCATCAGCCTGTCACTCATCTGGGTCTGCTCTTGCACAGCCAGAGAAGAAGACTTCTTTGTAAGCTACCAGAGAGGCCCTCTGGCTCTCACACTTGATTCTCAGCTGTTTATTAACTCCTCTCAGTTTCTCATTATCCCTTGGAGGGAAGGTCAGTGCAACCTGGTAATAACCAGGCAATTCCATTATCCTTGCATTCATTGTTCTTCTACACTTTTCAAACGCCTGAGTCAGCATGCTGACACAGGCATTCCTTGTCACCTGGACTTTTTCCCGGGTCACCGCCAGTAACATTTTTAGCAGCTGGGCCTTGTGCCAGAGAACAGTCATACTCCACTCAAAATGGGATCCTTATTACCAAGCAGGCAGTGGGTGACCCAATCCCCAAACTCCACTTTGCCGCCTGCTTTCGCAGACCATTGTGTAGTGTGGTTCATCTTAAAAAGAGATGCCAAGATATACTTAGAAATGCAAGAGAAAGCCAGGCATGGTGGTACACCTGTAGTCACACTGGACCCCAGGAGTTCAAAGCCAGACTGGGTAACAGCGAGACCTCATCTCTAA